CAGAACGTGCCACGTAGATTTTGAAACATTGATACCTCGATACTGCGTAGCATAAACATCAATACGAACGTTCTAGCACCCATCCAACGGCTGTGCGCGATGCATGTCATGGTCACTGCACCATGCTCTCGGTCTTCCATTCTGTTGCTCCGCGCCTCTACGGCGTTCTGGTCCAGAAGAGCCCGCAGCACTGGCCAGCGCGTCACGGATCGTTGGAATCGCTACGACCTTGAAGCAGTAGCCAGCGCTTCTGGCTGGGATCTTCTCGCTTCCGTGTCGATTCGAACACGCTTCGATCGGCCTGTTTCCTTGCACGCGACGCACCACCCTTTCTCTCTTCCTCCTCAGTCTGCATCTTGCGTTGGATGCCCTTCTTCTTCTTCTTCTCTGCGCTGGCGGCGGCCATTGGTGCGCAACGCATCTCGGACGCCGAGCGCCCCGAGCTCAACCGCGACTTGGCGCTCTGGCAACAAAAGTTTGGCAGCGACGACGACGTGCGCGTGGCCATGGCGTCGGTCAAGCCGTACCGCGACGAGCTCCTTCGGCGCATCCGAGCGGCAAAGGAGATGCTGCCATCCCTCCAGGAGGCCAATCCGCATGCAACGTTCAGCCACTTGACCAAGTTTGCACTGCTCACGGACGAAGAGTTTGCGCGGTTCGCAATGGTCTCGGCACGGCCATTGCCGGAGCGCTTGTCGCCCGCCACCCGGACGAATCCTACGGCTCTCGGTGGCCCCGTCGTCAAGGCAGTCGATTGGACCAAGCAGTCGGTTTGTGTGCCGCCAGTCAAGACCATGGGCAAGTGTCGAAGCCATTGGGCGATCGCGGCGGCAGCGGTCGTGTCCTCGGCGCACTGTCTCGCGACCGGCGAGGCCATCGACCTCTCGGAGCAGCAAGTACTGAGCTGCACGACACCCGGAGGCGCCAACGGCTGCCGCGGTGGCTTTGCGACCACGGGTATGAAGTGGCTCGTCTCGCAGCCCAACTCGGTGTGCTCGCGATCGGCGATCCCATACGTCTCGGGCGCCTCGGGCTCGGTATCGATCTGCAGCGACAACTCCAAGTGCGCCGGGTCCATCTCGCTCCAAGTCGGGAACGTCTTCGAAGCCAGCGGAGACGACGCGCTCGTCGAGCAGCTTCAGAAGCAGCCGGTTGTGGCGTACGTCACGACGTCCAACATCTCGTGGCGACTGTACGCTGGCGGCGTCATTTCCTGGTGCCCCGCCGGGTACCCGGACCAACCAGGCGGCCAAGCCGTTCTCGTCGTTGGCTACGGCACCCAAGACACTGGCTACGGCTCGGCGCCCATCGACTTTTTCAAGGTGCGCAACGCGTGGGGCACCAACTGGGGCGAAGCTGGCGACATTCGGCTCGCACGCGGCGACCGACATCGCGGAACGTGCGAGGTCACAACGTACCTCTCGTACCCGACGCTCCAGCTTCCAGCAGCCATTCGTGCGTCCATGACGCCAACAACCGTCGACGCGCGCAGTGTCGACAGCGTGGTCACAAACGATGACGCCTCGGACGAGACCGAATGAGCAATGAACTGTCCATGGGACTCTGCCGTTCTGGACGACGTACTACTTGATGTATGCGCGAATGCATGATTTTGAATTTCCAGTTTTGTGGTCTTCGTGGCGCTGGGCGTCGCACGTTGGGACGTCCGAACAAAGGTTTAGTTTTCGGAGCACTCGCGGAAGCCACGCTAAAGCCGTACTAGTACAGAGCAGCATGTCTTGCTGGGTTTCTCGTGTCTTGATGTCGCCGCGTCGATCGGTCGCAACGGCTTGTTGTACGCGCCGCACTGACTCTTCTCGACACCGCTTCGCTTGGCGGCGGCGCACCGTCTGTTTTCACAAACAGTTCTTCCCGTCGAGGACCCGCTGTTGCAATTGCTCCTTGACGACGACGAGTTCTCGAGCGACAGCGATGACTACATCGACAGTGACCATGACTAGCGGTAGATGATGTCGAGCAACCTCAATACATTTTGCATAAGACGATCAATCAAAGGGCCGTTTCCAAGCAGTGGAAGAGGTTTTCCGCGCAAGGACGAGCGATCTAGAAGACCAGTTACAAGTTCGAACAAAGGCCAAGACCCAGGCGCAGAGCAAACGAGCTCGAGCCATTTCCAAATTGGTAGTGTCCGTCAAATAGCTAACCCGCCTCGCCCACCACCGGCATGGCGGACACCAACACGGTTGTTGCCCCCAAGTAGTTCGGTCTTGATTGAGGAAAAATAAATTTACTTCTGTGCTGGAACATGTGCGATCCGCCCCTTCTCGTCTGCTCATCTGCAATTGAAAAATGATGAAGGTGCATGCTTGTCATTTTGGTTGGCTTACCAGTACCGGTAACTGGTCCGTCCTCGGAGGGTTAACCCTCCAACGCCTAGCGAGTCAAGTGCGTCTTCGCCCGTTTGGGTACATTATGCAAACGTGGACACGTATCGTTCACCGGCCCGGAAAGTGGGCACAATTTGTCAAAAACCCGGCAGGGTTGCGAGGGCGGCTTGCGTCGGCCTATCTGGCAGTGGACTGGGCTCAGCGCGCCGCCGATTGCGAAACTGGCGCCGGCGCGGTCCGTCGGGCACAAAGTGGTCGATGGCGTCGGCTTGGTCTTCTTGAGCGCCTCGACGCGGCCGTCGAGGTTCCCCTTGCGCTTCTCGCGGAAGGCAGCGCGCTCTGCCTCTTCGTACAGCCCATCGTCGCGCCGGACGTACAGTACCTGATGTTCGCGCGCATCCACTCTGTGCTTGCGGATCCGCAGCCCACGCTGGATTGGCTCAATTCTTGATCTTCCTAGCCAATCACAAGACTTGGTTCACGACCTCGACTTGAATAGTGTGAGCACCATTCAGCACAACGACGAGTAGCAGCCCACAGACGCGCCAGCGCCACGTAGCAGCCGTGCATACATCTCCACACACTTCTTGAATGACGTACATGTCGTTTCCGACGCTGCACGTGGCGCAATCACGCGCAAATCCATTTTCCATTTTTTGAGGTGGTTGCAGAATTGTCCAAATACTTCACGTGACATCGCGGGGTTCCAAAGCTCCAAGGACCGTAAAACTGGCTGCCACAGTTGGCAATGGGTCTCGACCTGGTGTGCGACCAGCTTGTTGGTCGCCGTCGTTGCTTGGGCACTCACACCAAACTCGAACTGCCGAGCGTCGGTTTTCGGGAAATTCGACATGCAATTTCGGTTGGCAATGCGTCGAAGTCGCGGAAACCGAGGACGCTGTCTCTTTCGGTTCATGCTAGAGAGCGTGTTGCATGTGGCTGCGGGAGGCAACGTGCGCGCGGTACCGCTGCGTGATGAGGCCTCGTATCCCGTACAGTATTTCGGTATAGCCAAAAATCACACTATATCAAAATATTGTTTGCCGCTGTCATTTGCTCTCGCTACAGAGCTCGCACGGCGACGTCACATAGCATTTTAGACTCCCCAGAGTGTGGTCTAGCACTCTGGCAAGTACGGGCGATTATATTTTCAAACTTCATTTTCGTCGATCCGGCGGCGCGGCGGGTCTTGGCTGCACGGCAGGGCGGTCGCCAGCGAGCGTCCTGTGGACGGTGAAACTCGTGTGGCCGAGGTTCTTCTTCCGTCACCTATCTCTGTAATGCAGGACATTGACTCACCAGGGATACGCTTGTCAATGATGAAGACCGCTACGGTCTCATGCAGCATGCGAGTTCTACGGTCTACGTCATCGAGACCCGATGCCACGCCAAGCACGCCCGGTGGTACCAGTAGCGTTATGAGCAGCGTCGTAGCCATAGAGCGCTGGCGCGATTGCCTTGGCGTAGGTGTACAGAAGGTGTACAGAAGAAGCTCGCGGAGCCTACTTAAATGGTGCACGTCCAGCTAGCTGGTCGTAGCCATCGGCACCGTAGCGATAGCAAAGACTATTGCTTCTACGTTGGGTATCGTGGCGCTGTGCGTTGTATAGTCGATACAAACGCCGACAGCGACAACCTCGAGCTGCGCGAGGAAGTGCGACCTTTGTCCCGCTGAGGCCTATCCGGACAAGCTCCGGATACCAAAACAAAGAGCGATCACGGCGACGAGCCACGACAACATCGGCACCGGCACTAGAAGGAGCTGC